TGCGAGACCACTGACTTTTCCAGGAGAAACTGAATGTTTGTACGATGCTTTAATGAAACACCTTGTTTTCCAGGTAGGTTCTTCATGTCTAGTTTTGGTTTGGAGAAACTTCTAAACTCCTGAAATACGGTGTTTGGAGCAGAGCTAATGACACAACCTTAATTATAGCAGTAGTCACAACTGCCATTGTAATTAAAGCTTTGTTTATAATTTGGTGCCTTGCTGTTTACAAAATAAACTGTTGTTTTTTGTGATATGTACCTAGGCTGTTAATGCATTTTGTTGTTAAATATTTTCTGAACATAGAACCAAAAGTAGTTTTATACTTAAAAATAGATTACAAGGTCTGCAGTGACTACAACCTATGTTGTAGGTGATTTTTTTTCTTACAACATTAGCCATAGTGTGAAGTATGCAGGAAAAGGGGCAAAGTCAGTTAGGTTTTTCGTTTAGAGAGAGAACTTGTGAAGGAAAGACATGTCTTTATTTTTTTAATCTAATGCTATGCAACGTTATAAACTGTAGCTATTTTCACTTAAAAGAATCATCCCTAGAAAAACAGTACTAAACTATCTATTTCTGTTAAAAGGTAGCTGTATTCAGTTCTGGACTTTGTTTTTCCAGGGTTTTATGGAACTCCTAAGAAATCCAGAATGCCCTTTGCCTGTTCCTCCTTCCCTAGCAAAACAAAACTCATTACTGTAAGGGGTGGAGGTATTTTATTTTGAGGAAGAGAAATTTTTAAAACAAAACCAAGATAGTGGTCTGTAACAATGATTTTGAACTGTAGTGAGGACGTGTTCGGTGGACTGATGGATCTCTACTATCTCTAAGTTTTTATGATTATAAAACCAAATGCTACTAAGTATGTCTTGCAGTCTGATTCTGGAAAATTTAGATTGCACATGATTAAAGGTTAGTTTTAAAGAGCTCCATTTAATTATTTTTAAGATTATCAGAATTCAGTATGCAAATATTGTAACACTAAATTGGTTTGATACAGCACTTTTCCTTAAGAAGATATCCCAGAGTATTTTGCAAAATAATATATTATAATTAATGGAACAAAGTAAAATTAATTGGAACAATGTCTGTCTGCAGATATCTGCTTTATATTCATATTTTGCCTTTCTAACAACTGTGGGAATCACTCATGGAAAGATAGGAAACATGTTGGACTGTTACTGAATCTCAGCAGAATTTTGCCTTTTTAAAGTTTGCAAATTAAAAACATTAGCAAATACGTTTTACAGTATAAAAGTGTTTTAATGTGGGTTGCTTATGTAGTTCAGTTGTTACCCGATAACTAGATAATGAAAGAAGTATGTGGTTCTTATCACCTTTTAAAAAACAGCAAAGCAATATTAACCATCAATTAAAAACGAGAAAAATTTATAATACACTTCCTCAAAGTAAACTTTGGCATATTTTAATTTCTGAAATGTTATGTAATCTTTCTTCAAAAACACCATTAATTTGTTTTCAAACAACAACAGAAGTTGTACTAAACTTTCTTAGTATTTAGGGGCGCTTATACATGTGCAGCAAGGCTGCTCTGACGCAGTCATAGCACACTTCTGTAATTGAGTCTGTTGCAGTGTGGTAATAACTGCGTTTCGGCCTACTCCAGCATCTCGTGTATTATCGTCCTTGCGTTGAAAAATGGTGTTGGGGGTGCTTTAACTAAAGCTTATTTGATGAGCTTTAATGTGACCTGCCATCATTTTTCAGCGTGGGGATGCTGACGCACAAGACCCTGCGGGCGCTTTAATTAACCCTCCCCCCCTTCCACTTCCCCCAGAGAACACGTTTAAATGCCCTAGGAGTCTAATGTTGCAGAACAACAGCTAAATTTTCCAATTAAGGTACATTTAACAATTGTAGGGTAGTTATGCCCTGCGCAAAGGTATCGGAGTTCTTTAAGTGCCTATTTTTTCCCAGACAAGGTTTTTTGGGTGAATCTGCTATCTTTTATTAGACCAACTTAAATAGTTACTTTGCAGTTGTCTCTTTGCCTAGCATCATTTTCAAAGCAGTCATTTCTCTGTGACCAGCGTTTCTTTTTCCCATGACTGAAAAATGGTAGAGAGAAACTTGGTGCCTGTGCTAATTCATTAGGCAAGTCTTTTTTTTTTTTTTTTTTTTTTTTTAATACATTTGGCTCAGGTTTTTTACCCTTTTGAAAATGTTTTAAGATCTTTCATAGTAGTACAGTTCACTCAGGAAAATAGAAAAGTATTGGATTCCTTTACGTTAACTTTACAATAGAAACAGTAAATGGCTCAGTTTCATATCAAGAATTATTTAATACACTTTTTACTATAGATCTTGTCTCTACTTCAAACTTACTTGCTGGGAATGGCACATTTAGATATATGCTGCTTAGTTTGTATGCTGCCTACTGAACCAGAAGCAGTGCAACTGTGTTAGGTGAGCATTACTGGGACTCACCATGTCCATTTCCTCATAAATGTAGCTTAACTAAAACTATTATGGCTAAATAGCAGCCACTTTTGAAAAAAGGTGTGTGTTTATATATTCCAAATTTTGCAGTCATTTTTACCATCAGGAAGACTTGCGGTGTTTTTCTAGCCACCACATAATCCCGTTTGTTTGTTTGTACTCTTTTGATATTAATCTGACCAAATGTATACAGACTTTCTTATTCTCTAAACAGCAATACACATTGTACTGGCAGAGAGAAAAGTATTAGCATGTGAGAGTTGTTTGTTTAGCAGTTGAGTCTGAGTCTGTAATAGGATCAAGTGACAGTGAAAAGGTCAGTGTTTGGATCACCAAAGTAACATGAGGAATTCTAAAATATGTAGGCATACCTTGCATGTAAACACAGTGTGATATTTACTTATCTTTTGCTCATTTACAGCCTTGCATTTTTGCCACTGTGACTTCATGTATTTTTTCCCTAATTTTATCATGACGCATACAGTTCTTTATGCAAATGAGCTATGTTGAATGTATCCAGTCCTGTCAATATCTTTGATATTGACGAGGCATCAAAACGTTAAAAATAGGATTTTTTTTTTTAAAGTCCTACATCTAAGTATATCGGGGATTTTTTTATAATTTTGTCATGACTGGGGAATTTTGGATTATTATTTTGAAGGTGTTTCATCATTAACATTGCTCAAGTTAAAGAAATTGGATGTCTGTCTGGAGAGCAAGATTATAGTTTTAATTATTTGCGCCCTCTGGTGACATTGTTAACAAAGCAATTATTTTGCTCCAATTCCATCTTTTCAGAAGCATGCTAGAGATTGTGGAAGTGCCAGCCAAAATCATTTTTGTTGTAGGGTCTTATTTTCTATCAAGTGCCAATTTTTCAAAAGGTATAGAGCCAGGAAAGACTAAATGCAGAGTAATTTATTAAAGGATGTGTCTCATTTAAGACATTTTGAATTCACAACTGTGTAAACAAGCAACAGCCTACATTGGTGTGTACTGAAGCTCGTTCAATGTTTTATTCTAAGTTCTCAAGATATAGCATTTCAGCCTCCAAATCTTTTTTTTTTTTTTTTTTAACTTGTAAACTTGCAGTATGTTACTTTGTCAGCATACAGTGACCTAATATAAGTTGTGCCCCTTCCTCCAACCACTGATGGCTATAATTAGGAAATTATTTTAAAAGGTTAATTAAAATGCAATATTAAATCTCAGTTGCATAAAATGTAAAATACATTGTCTCCTAAATTTGTGTTGATCATATGCAACCTGTCCACATAAAGAATTACTATTTTTGCTTGAATCTAAGACTTCCAAAATATTCTAGATGTGATCTTCACCTGTATTTAACCATGTTTAAAATGTAAGTGCATTAAGATTATTTAAAAATAGGACTTCAGCTGTCTTTTGTAGGTGGCTAAACTTTCCTTATATATTTCTTTCATTGCCATTGTATTCAAGTGAGATTTAAACACTAAGTGTTGCTCGAAATAGGCAAACACTGAATTTACAACTGCTACAGAAATGTTCCAGCCCAGTGCTATTAACTAAAATGCTGCCCTTCCTTTTGGCCTTGGTCATGTACCTAATGTGTTTAAAAATAACAGCAATAACCATCAGTCTACATACATTGGGTATCCCTATCTTGAAAACAAAGGTTGAGCTGAAATGATGCTAGCAACTAAGGACATTGCTTAGAAAAAGTTTCTGCTCTAGACATTCCTGTGTACTAATGTAAGTTGTGATTGTGATGGGCAGTTATAAAAAACAGAGTTTTATTTTAAAATTACTGCAAGGAGAAAGCTTACAAATGTCAATGAATTCTGTGATTTTTGAAAGGTTGATAATATTTTTAACTTGAATAAAAATATAAGAGATTTTTTTCTAATATAGTAAATATTTTAATAGTTTCTTCAATGTTTATTTCGTAGTAAGTTAATGATATTAAGTGGGTTGGACTAGATTCTTTCCAGCCCTATTTCTTTATGATGTTCAGCTGAGAGCAGAGAATTATTTTGTAAGATGAGGTTGAACTGCACAGATAATGAAACAGTGGGTGTTACATGTAAAAGTTTATTTAATTGAACAAATACATTGTAAATACTTGTGCTGATCAGGTGACTAGCCACATATATGGAACTAAACTTGTCCATTTTAACTCCATTGAAGATAAATTCATCCCTAGTTTAACTACTTTGTTCCCTTTGTTTTTTCTAACTGTAGTTCTTCATGCATGAAATAATGATCTGTAGCTCAATTCAGATTAAATGCATCATTGTAAATGTATGTTACAGTTGCATTTGCAGAAGTGTGAATTAAAAATATTACTGGACTTCATTGTAGTAAGCAGCAAGAAACTTTAATAAGTGTCTAGGTTGTTTTTATCTCTTATACATCCATACCTTGTTTTCTATATAGACCTCTCAAAAATGTCTTTCTACCATGATTCAAATACAGAATTAACCATTTTAAACTATAGGCTGTGCATTTATTCTAAGATAAACTCTTTTCACTAAAATTTCAACAACCTATACACCTAGGAAGAAGAGTATCCACCACGGGATGACTTCAGTGATGCAGATCAGCTTAGAGTGGGAAATGATGGCATCTTCATGTTGGCATTTTTCAGTAAGTTATTTTCACATTCCATACCTTTTGAGGTGCTGAGGTAAATATAAAAGTTGAAGATGCAGAAGATAAAAGTATAAAGTAAATGGCATGGACATACAATAACAATTTTTTTTTTTAATTCGTATACAGATGTAAAACAGTACCTATTGCTCACAAAAAGCAAGTATGTTGCTTTTTTTCCCCCTGTAGTCACATCAGAGAATGGTGTTAAAACTAACTTACACCTGTCACATGTAGCAGGACTGAACAAATCCTTAAGGAGTTAAGGCAAACTAGTACTATATTATGGAGTATGCATCAAAGTTTTAGCAGAACTGTAAACACTTCAATTAATTAAAAAAGGCTAGATTGCAGAAAGTTGATAAATTAGGAGAAAAATATATTGTGATACATGCATTCTCTCCCAAACAGTGCTCTTGGCAGCCTATTGCACTAAATAGCTGTAGGTGGATTTGTTCAGACCTATTTTAATTTTTTCAGGTCAAACTAACCTTGGATATTTTAAGATAATCAACTCTTACAATTATATCACTTTTGTGGTAATATAAAACACTCTTTTTCCAGACAATCTTTGATTGCTACCAACACCACCTTTAGTATTTATTCACTTACCATGTGTGTGTTGTGCACCTTTTATTTTCTAACATATATATTCTATTGAGATTTATTGTTTTACTATAAATTCTTTCTTGAAAATTGCATCCATTTTCCAATGCTGTTTAAGTTCCTAGAAGTTGCCACCTCTTTCCAAGATAAATCTATATCACAGATGCTGTGTTGAAAACTTGTTGCTTGATGGAGGTGGTACTGAGATTTTTCTTGCAACAGGCTAAAAGGTGTTTATTGCTGATGTCAGTCATCCTTGTATTCCTCAGTTTAGACAGTGATTTTGACTCAGAATCCTAGTAAAAGCATATTTTTGTATATATCAGATTTGCCTGACAAACATGATATCCAGAAATGTTTTGTATCTTTTGCTTATTGTTTAAATGCATTGCCCCAAACTATTAAATTGGGTATAATAAAGGTTGTTTTGTGTGTAAATCATTTTGTAAATGTAGATATAGTCAATGCTTTACACCATTTTGCTCTCTGGTCTCTTCTAGGCCAGGTACAGACATTACACTTTTAGCAGTATAAGTGATTGGAAACTGGTCTATACCCGTAACAGAACAGAAGTTCAGCGCACAGACTGGTTTAAAAATGGTGGAACCCAGTCTACGATTTAACCCCCACAACACAGGGCAAATGCATGTTCTGTTTGCTACTGATGTGAACTATGCCACTTACAGAAAACTGCATAATTTGGTTCAATTCCTCCTCAGGCTTTTTGAACGTTTGTGCCTAGCCCTAGTGACTTGACCCAAATAGACTTTTAAGTTTGCTACAACATTTGAACTAAAAGATTTGGGTGCCTCAGCTCATGTAACACAAACTCATACTTTTTAAATGCCAGCGTTTATTCAACACCAATGTTCATATACATCATTACATATAATGCAGAACCTTTGACTGGGTTATTGACTTTGGGGAACCTCTGTATGTAAAAAGCATGAGTGTCTGCTGTGTGAATTGAAAGGTCTTGTTAGCGTAAAGTCTGCACCAGATATGTATATGTATATAAGTAGATAGTGATGCTGGATTGGATTCAGAAAGCAAAAATGTCACCAAAAACCCCATGCTCAGAAACTTTGTACACAGCTGTGGGTACATAAAATTAAGCACTACTTTTTATATAAATTGGTTCTGTTTTTCTCTTCAACCAAATTAAGGCGTATCTTTTTAAGGAAGCCAATATTTCTCTCCTTTTTTGTTTTTTTTTTAAAGCTTACATTTATGTCATAGGAGAAGATGCTTACCACTCGATTACTCTGCCAGTGTATTTCTGTTCAGTTTTATTAACTTGTTAAAACATGCAAATGCACAACAGGCTTGTTCTCAAAACAAGACAAGGAAAAAGCTTTTAATGAAAATATGTGCCTATTGTGTATGTATGTGTTTGCAGCGACTTTGTACGTCAGTTAGATAATAGCATACATAGGTAGACATTTAAACACCTAACTAGGCATTTGTTTGCATGTAGTTCAAAACCACAGGTACAGCACTGAGAACTTGTTTGCTAGACAGTTGAAGTAATTTGTTAAAGAACTAAATTATTGTGGAGATGGAGATTGGGGTTTTTTTCTTCCAAAACAGACTAGACAAGTTTTAAATGTATAAATGAGGGTAAGGGGGTAAGTCTACAAAATCTTGGAAAGTGCCACCAGCAGTTCAGAGGAAGGAAATTTATTTAAGGCAAAGGTGTCAAACATCTGTCCTGCACAGCCATGTCATCTGGCCTGCAGCATTACTTGAGGGACCAGGAATGCAGGGGTGGGGCAAGCAGGGGGGTGAAGTTATCTGCTAAATCCTAGGGTTTGGAGCCTACTGGGGACACATTTTGGCAGTGGGACAAGCTCAGCTGTATTAACTTCTGTGGCTCCCTCATGCTGCTTGCCCTGCTGTTGGAGGTGGCTCTGTATCTAGCCTGTGTGAAGTCCCGTGGTCTGGATCTGGCCCAGGGAGTCAAATGAGCTTAACACTCTGGATTTTAGGCTCTCTGAGTAGCTATATTAAGAATAAAAGGTATTAAGTTAAATACATACTCTCAAAAGAAGAGGAGGGGGATGGAACTTTATGAGATCCTGGAACAGGGTCCTGAGAATTGGGACAGTTTTGCTTAGGGCATTTAAAGGAGGTAGTACAAAACTTACAGAAAATTTACCCATGTGAAAAATTCTACCTTGGCAGGGACATGGACATAAAGAAATAAGGTTCTTTATTTCATTTTTTTTTTTCTAACTCAGCTTCCAGCATTACATTATTCTAAAGAAACCCAAAGACCCTGAAATCAAGAACTCAGTGTTAAATAGTGAAGGAGGATCTGGTAATTATCTAACATGTTTTAGTCTAGCTGATCATATAATAAAACTATTGTTTTACTGTGAAGCTATTCTTCACAATTAATGATATGTAGCTACCATCTAGTGGTAAATATCTAAATTGCAATTTTAATTGATGTCTTTCAAGCCATCTAGTGGCCATCTCTGTTCTTTACCCCTTGTTTCCTCCTTATTCCTCCCCCGGCGCTCACCCCTCTCAATAGTGCTCAATATTATGAGCACTAGCATATTACAGAGATCTGTCTTTGTCTCTGTCTCATAACAAATGAGACTTGGAAATTAAGTTCACAACTTTACAATACAAATTTCTACCCCATGTTCCAGTGTATAGAGTTATTTTAACAAATGGTTTGTTGGTTGGTGCCACAATTGCGTAGTTAAAGCTAGGTAGTAATTTCTATAGCTTTTAATCCAAGTTCTAGAAATTTTAAAACAGTCATTTTGGACAGCTACTCTTCTTTTCCTGTGCTTGCTAGAGGCCAGATCTAAAAGCTCCTGACACACCTAAGTTTTTTGCTGAAATCAAGTTTTCTTTATCTATTCTTTTCCACAACTAACAGTGAACAAACCATGCCAGAATCCAGGAATGGTACATTGCAGGGCTGTATTTTCAAACCTGTATACATAATAAATTTATTGGGAAAGATTTATCACGTAGAGGTAGAGCTTGTCTGTTTATCTTAAGTATGACTTTTCAGTTATAATCTTGTGTTTAGAGTAGAAATTGTGTTGCTTTAGTGATAAGGTGTGGAGTAAAGGAAAACTCTCAGAACTGGAGCATGTCATAGATAGCTTTTAGTGTTACTCCACCTGTAAACTGGCATGTGATTTCCATTAAATTCTGATCTAAAACGTGGCAGCAGATGTTTTTTTATTAAAGTTGTATGTTATTCTGGTCAGAAAGTACCAGTTATTTAAAAATGTTGCAGAAATCTGGGCCAAATTTTTTAGATCATAGTGGCTAAAATTAGGCTCTTAAGCTAGGGTGATGTGAAGCGCTCCCATTAACTTAGGTGGAATTTGAGTGCTCCTCAAATTCCTTCCATCTGAAAACTGTGCCACTTCTCTTTAGTTGACGAAATGTGAATCAGAATTCCAGGTTGTGGTCACCCTGGGTTCAAAACTTTGGTTGTTCTTGTTGAAAAACAGAATTGCTGATAATAAACAATCTTATTAATTTTACTTTACACATTACTTGTTCTGATACAAAAGGTGAAATTAATAGAAAACATATTCATGTCTCAGTTCTGTGAGAATTTTTTCATGATGCTAGGCTTCTAGAAAGCAACAACGTACCTTGTTTCATGTAATTCTTCAAATCTTGCATTTTTATAGTGACAAAATGTGTATTTATGAGAAAAAAGTATGTTTCACTTCAAGATAACATTGCATTTCCCTCTTGATTATTGATTCATTTAATAACTCATGGCAGTTTGAATTTGCCAAATTTTCCAAAGATGTAATTGTTCACCTTTCAGGATGTACAGGTTGCCAATATCATTTCATAAAATATAGACAAGTTTTTTATGTCAGGTTTTGAGTTTCAGCTGATTTGATCAGAAGCATTTTTTTTTTTTTTAGCTGTAGTGGTAACTGATTGACACTCTTCAGAGGTTGAAATTAATATTCCTTGATCTTGCCTAACCAAAATTCTTCAGGCTTGTCCAGCTGAAAACTGCTTTTATGGCTTCTGAAACACTAAAAAAAAATTGAGATCCTTTTGGAGATGGGTGTATTTTGAGGCCGTCTTTCACCATTGACGGTAACAATATAATGCTTTTTGTTGATGTTGAAAACCACTGTCTCCAGGCAGAATCTGATTTGTCTTACCTGATGATACCCAGGTAGTGAACTGCCATCACTCCACAGCTGCTTCCCAGCTGACAGTTAGTTTATGGACATCAGCTTTCCCCAGCCCCACACCCTACCCCTTAGGCAGACTACCCTTCTTGAAACTGGTACTTTTATTTCAGTAATTTTGGGAAAGAGGGGAGAAGAGGCAGTCTCCTTCTACCACATCATACAGCCTTCCTCTGACGGTCTCAGCATTGACTG